TGCAATCAATCCAGCAAGGAAGATTAAAAAGTAAAACACGTGATATGTTTGCCCTTCCCAGATCACGATTGCTCCCTCAACCAAGGGAGCCTGCCAGCACCCCATTCTACTCACTCTGACTTGCTGCTGTTTCAATTCTACCCTCAGCTTGCCTCGAAGGTGCTGGGGTTTATGAATCCTGGTTCTAGGAGCACTTTCCTCAGCCTGAGCTCTCTGTAGCTCTTCATACCTTTTACAGGGTCTGTTCATTTGAGCCTCTAGTCCTTCCAAGTGAGCCAAAACACCTAAAGAAATGTGAAAAGGAACTTCACAAGAAGCACTTCAAAAAGGAACAAGTACATACCTTTTTATTTTTATGTCTTTTTGAGACAGGCTCTTGGTATGCAGTTCAGGCTGGCCTTGAGCTCACTTTGTAGGGCAGGCTGGTCTCTGTGACCAGCTGAATTCATTTTATAATTGTTAATTTTTTTGTGGTACAGCTGAATTCATTTTATAATTGTCATTTTTCTTTCTTTTTTTTTTTTTTTGTGGTACCAGGGATTGAACTCAGGACTCTGAGCTTGCCAGGCAAGAGCTTATTCTACTGAGCTATCTCCCTGACCCTTATAATTGTTATGATATATGCCACAATTATAAAAACCAGAGGATCTGACAGTCAAAGTCAAAGACGATCAATCTTTTTAGGTTGTTCACTGACATAAAAACAGTATTATTATTATTATTTTAGATACGGTCTTGCTGTGTAGTTTAGGCTGGCCTTAAATTTATGGTGATGTTCCTGCCTCAGCTTCCTGAGTGCCACTCAACCAGGATAGTTTTCAAAGAGAAAAAGAGAAAGAATATGATTTGTCTGCTACGTACTTTCTAGGCAGAAGTACTATAACTGGGCCTACTATTTATCACAAAAGTTCATAGCTAGTGTGGAAAAAAGGGACTTAATACTTTAACACAATTAGATGACATTTCCTTTACAAAAGTTCTAGGTGTGGCGGTGGTACACACCTATAATCCCAGCAGTCTGGAGGCTGTGGAAGGAGGATTGCTGCAAATTCAAGACCAGCCTGGGCTACAAAATAAGATCAAGGCAGCCTGAACTGCATGGCGAGACCCTGTTTCAAAACGGCCAAAATAAATAAATAAATAAATAAAATTTTTTATACTACTATCAGAGTTCAATTAATTTCAAAAGTATCAAAAAAGTGAGATACTGACTATGCAAAAACACCTATTTCATCATTTTTCTTATCATTATTCAGAATGCTATCTCTTGCTTTCTCACGGACATCAGAGTTTGAGTTAATCCTGTTTTCTGCTGTACCCATTTCTTTTCAGCCGAATCCTTCTACATCATAAACTCCACTCCATAAAAAGAAAGCTAAAATTACTAAGCAGAGGGCTAATATCAGTATGGGTAACAGCTGTATGTTCAACTTTTGTTTGGGAGAGACAATGCAGGGGCTATGTTGATGATCTAAAACTTCTAGCTCTTCATTTACTTTTTTTTTCTTTTTTAAATGTATTTTAGCACAGGGTCTACAGGATCTCACTACATTGATCACACGGAGCAGTGATTCTGTTTTCAGCCACACCCAGTCTCAATCACTGTTTCAGTTGGGGGTCTGGCAAGTGATTTAGTCCGCTGCGGCCCCTCTTCATTTACTTTTTTTTTTCTTTTTTTCTCTATTTACTTTTAATTTTTTTTTCATTTTTTATTTTTATTTTTATTTTATTTTTTTCAAACCAGGAATTGAACTCAGGCCCTTGCGCTTGCCGGGGAAGTGCTTATTCCACTGAGCCATCTCCCCGGCCCCTCCATTTACTTTAAAAGAAACAAAACTAGGTCACTTTAGAGAACAGACTACTCCTGATAGCAGCATGAATTAAATTTTTTGTTTATTTTGTTGTTGTCTTCAGGTACTGGGAATTGAACCCAGGGCCTTTATACATACTAAAATACACCTCCGGCCCTTCCTAAATTTTGAGACTGGGTCCAGTAAATCACTCTATTGACTGAACTTGCTATCCCGTCGCCTCAGCCTCCTGGAACTTTGGAATTATAGGCCAACCATGCCCAGATTTTGTTGTCTTTTGAGACGAGATCTTAACTGTGTTGCCCAGGCTAGCCTTTGAGTACCTGGGATTACAGTCATTACACTCAGCTGTAACATTTTTTAAATACACAAAGCCACCAAATTTACTTTTCGTTTTGAAGTAACAATAAATTCTAACCCATGTACTAGGTCACCTCTTTTGGTCTCGCCGTCTTGTGCAGTTTTCGCTTGCTCCATCTCCTCTTTATGCCTTCCTACGAAGCGTTCCGGAACCTTGATGTCCTTCGCGGTAAACAAAACAAAACAAAACAAAAAAACAAAAACAAACAGTAACAGTAACATCCACTCCTTTTTAGACAAATCCTGACAGACTCACGCGCGCCCTCGGGTCGGAGGAAGCCAAGCGTTACCGCGGGCACGTCCCTCGTTGACCCTGCAGGCCTGGGTCAGTGTCAGCTGTGTCCCCGCCTCCCTGGGAATTGAACCCAGGGCCTTTATACATACTAAAATACACCTCCGGACCTTCCTAAATTTTGAGACTGGGTCCAGTAAATCACTCTATTGACTGAACTTCAGGTCATACGCCAATTTCCCGCCTTCTAAACCTTCAAAATGCAACCGGGTCCGTCCCAGAATGCTCTGCGATCCTGCCGTACAAAAACATGGCGGCGTCCTAGACTCCTCCCTGATCCCAGCATGCACCGCACAGTAGACTCAGCCGTTCGCGTAGTCAGGAAGATGGCGGCCTCTGGGGAGGAGCCGCAGATCCTGGTACAATACTTGGTGTTACGAAAAGACCTATCGCAAGCTCCGTTTTCCTGGCCGGCGGGCGCGTTGGTAGCACAAGCTTGTCACGCAGCCACTGCGGCCCTGCATCTTTACCGCGACCACCCGCACACGACTGCTTACCTGCAGGAACTGGGGCGCATGCGCAAAGTGGTCCTCGAGGTGAGACACGCAGGGGGAGGGCTGCGGAGAGTGTCGAGACCGGAAGTGAGTGTGATTTTTGGGTCAGAAGCGTAACTAGGTTGGAGTTGGAGTGGGCTGAGTTGGGGGGAATTTCTAACTTTTCAAATTTTGGAAAGACCTCTGGGATTTGATCTGTGACCTAGGAAGCCTTCTCTTACGCAGGGGATGAGATGTGAATTGTGGATGTCAGACCTGTTACCCAGGCTTCCCGGAAAAGCTGGTGGTCCCTTCCCTCTGTAGATGTCCGGGAGGACCTAAGCAGGTGGAACTCCACCCGCTTTTTTACCTGGCCACCCGCCAGGCTTTAAACTGGCGCCTAAGAACTGTTCCCCGGGAAACCAACTCGGAAGGCAGCGGACGAAGAACGGATGTATTTACTTGAATGTGACATTATATTGTTTGAAAAATGAATACTTAAATCTCTAGTGTAAATTGAACGTACAGTCAAAACTACAAAAAAAAGTGTAAATCAGCACATTTTTAAACATCACTGTAAGATTCTTTTTGATTTGGCCAAACAGATCTAACCCTTTGACTTTCTTGAGTCCACTGCTAGAAATACTAGAGAACAAGCCGCTGCAATCAGAGCTTTGCACAAGGATATTCATAGAAGCACTTTGTATTGGTTTAAAAAAAAAAAAAAAAAGGAAGCTGAGTGTGGTGGCACTTGGGCGGCTGGGGCAGGAGGATGGCCAGGAGTTCCAAGCCAGCTCGCACTATGTAGTGAAATCCTGTCTCAAAAATAATCAGAAATACTAAGGATTGGTTAAATTAATCTGTGCCCTTATGGTGTTATCTTTTTTGTTGTTGTTGATAGGGGAGAGAACTGGGGCTCAAACTCGGCTTTAGGTATGCTAGGTGAGCACTCGGCACGGAACTACAACCCCCAGCTCTTACGATGTATTTCTCCGGGGCTAACAGAAATCCTGGTTTTTAAAATATAGTAGCATAGAAGAGTGCTCGCGATATGCTACTAAGTGAGTTGTACCAATGATTTAAATTTTGAAAGAGAAAGCTAAAAATACATCTAAATGTTAACTAGTGAGTGGTGAAATTTAAGTTATTATGCTTCCTATATTTTTAAATGCTCCACATCAAGTACATTGTTACAATGAGAAAAATATTTTAAAAATAAGTCCCTGACCAGGTGTGGTGGGGGGGGGGCGGCCACCACATACTTACAGCATGGGGGAGGCTGAGGCAGAAGGATTGCTGTTGAGTTTGAGGCCAACCGGGGCTACATAGTGAGTTCAAGGACAGCCTGGGCTACCGAGTGAGACCCTGTCTCAAAAACAAAACAAAACAAAACAAAACAAATCCCTGCCTTTTAGTGGAAGGGTGGGGTAATCCCCTCCTGGCAAGTTGGCAAAAATAGACTAATGTAAGAGAGAGATGCTATTGGATAGTGAGCCATCAACCAGTAATTGAGGGAAATGCCTTGAGAATCTGTGAGAAGCAGAAAAGAAACAGATAGCTTTTTGTTTAGAATTTTTTTATATGAAGAAATTATCTGATTCAGGACTGTCATTTTTACCCAGTTAATCCTCTTTTGGTTTAAGACACCATATTATAGTGATGCTTGCATACTCACGTTTATAACAGCATAACTCATAATAGTTAAATCTTGAAAGAGACCTATATGCCCATCAGCAGATGAGTGGATAAATAAACTATTTATAGAGTACTACTCTACTATAAAGAAAGATTAAGTCATTTGTAGGAAAAGATTGCTCCTTGAGTGGAATAAATCAGACACACTGGTGTTAAGTATCCTATGGTTTCTCTTATATGAGAAACCCAATGAGCTAAATAAGAGATAACAGGAAATAGAAACAGGAAGACAGATCTTTTGCAAATGGAAAGGGACAGAGAGATGGACTAAGGAGGATGGGAGGGGAAGTAAAAAGAAG